GGAAAGGTAAGCCTCGGAGCCCCAGAAAGAGGCTGGCAGGTGTTGCAGGACCAGGGAAGTAGAGGGAGGTGAGGGTGGGGCCAGGTCCAGAAGCAGTGCTCCTGGGGCCCAAGGAAGGCACCAAGTTGGCCTGGGTGAAAAAGATCAGGAAGCAGTATTGGTTCCCCAGGTGTCTGGGGACCCAAGACTAGGAATGGCACAGGGCCCAAACTAGGAGTAGAGAACAGCAGGGGAGATGGAAGGGTGAATGAGGCTGGGGGAGTCAAAGCGCAGAGGGCCAGCGTGATAGACCTAGCCCAAGAAGCCTGAGGATAGGAGAGCAGGTTAGGGGAGTTAGCAGGTGGTGCAGGTCCAGGGAAGCAGATAGAGGTAAGGGTGGGGCCAGGTCCAGAAGCAGTGCTCCTGGAGCCCAAGGAAGGCACCAAGCTGGCCTGGGCAAAAAGGATCAGGAAGCAGCACCGGTTCCCCAGGTGTCTGGGGACCCAAGACCAGGAATGGCGCAGGGCCCAAACCAGGAGCAGAGAACAGCAGGGGAGATGGAAGGGCGAATGAGGCTGGGGGCGGGGTCAAGGCATGGAGGGCTCTGCGATAGACCCACCCCAAGAGAGGCCTGAGGGTAGGAGAGCAGGCCAGGAGAGCCAGCCGGTGGTGCAGGTCCAGGGAAGCAGAGAGAGGTGAGGGCGGGGCCAGGTCCAGAAGCAGTGCTCCTGGGGCCCAAGGAAGGCACCAAGCCTGTCCGGGTGAAAAGGATCAGGAAGCAGCACTGGCTCCCCAGGTGTCTGGGGCCCCAAGACTAGAAATGGCACAGGGCCCAAACTGGGAGTAGAGAACAGCGGGGGAAATGGAAGGGTTAACGTGGCTGGGGGAGTCAAGGCGCCGGGAGGCCTGCATGATAGACTTACCCCAAGAGAGGCCTAAGGGCAGGAGAGCAGGCCAGGAGAGTTCGAATGACTATGTCTTTTAAGTGATGAAGGGGAAGAGGTTTTCTGTCTAAGATCTTTAGGAGAAATCTGCTCTTTGTGGACATGAGACTTATACACCCCCACAGATGGTCCAGTGCACTGGCTACCTTCAGTAACACCAACCTTAAAAACAGAGGTATCTGAAATGCAGCCAGAATGTCAGTGAGAAGACAAAGTGATGGAGGTAGTAAACTGTTTCATGGGTTCTAGGGGTGATGTTTGTGTAGAAGAAGGAAAATCCATTTCTTTAGGTGGCACACAAATAGGCTCTACTAATTCTGACAACCGAGGATCCATATTTGCATTGAACAACACTTCACCTCCCTTGCTAATTTTGAAGTCCTTGGGTGTAAGTTGTTGAAAGGGGGGGTGGCTTTGTAACTGCAAGGAATCCCAAACTTTGAAATGGGGGTTGCTCTGGTTTAGTGATTTGGAAATGTTAATATGCCTGGTTCTCCATGATGATGGGTTCTGTCATCCTCTAATCACTTCTGAAGGGTCAGCAGATCTGCAAACACAAGGGTGGCCATGTGAGTGTGTTTGTTCAGCAGTTAAGAGTCCTGAAACATCCTTTTTCATGGCTCTCAATGATAATGTGACCACATACAGCTTTGGGTACGCATCCTATTCCCCGTGGACTCTGTAAATCCTAGAAGATATAAGTGGGCTCTTACTTAAAGTACTCCAATAGTGACATACTGATCAATTCTATATCCATGCTAAAAATGACCATGACAGTCACCTCATTCATCTATAAAACAGGTCAAAGACACAGCAGGAAAATGAGACTTTATAGAATAAAAAGCTCATGATAACTCAGATCACTCAGAAAACTTAAACTTGTCCACTAGCATACTACTGTCCTTCCAGTATGTATCCATACCTTTTCCCTTTCAATAATAGAGGTACCGCACCCAAACTTTTGTTGTTTATATAACCAAATTTTCCAGTTTCTTTTGCGACTAGCTGTGATCATATGACTAGGTTTAACCAATGGGATACGAGCAAAAGTTTAAGTGCAACTTCCGCTTCTTATCCTTAATTCAGTTTTTCACCCCCCCCATACTGTCTGCCACCTCTGCCATTACCACCAGGACTACTCTTGCACCTGAAAATGGTGATGCATGTAACAACCATGGAAGCCAAGCATGAGGACAGTGCAGCTGCCAGCCAGGTTAGGTCAGGGGACAACTCACTTTCTTATCCTGGACTACAGCATAAAAAAAAAGTGAAATTCTACCTTATTTGAGCTGCTTGAAACTCATTTGGGCTTCCTTCTGGCTCTTTATTACAGAGATCTGACATACAACTATTATTTTTATCACCCAAAATAGGTAAAAACAAACAAACAAACAAAAAACTAGTACCTCCTGAGCACAGAATCAATCCCAAAAGGGGATTTTCCTTTACCTATTAAAAAAAAAATTATAACATAGCATTCTACTTTATGATATAGTACATTTAATTTCATACAGAAATGTTTTAGATGGCTTAGACATAGTGTTTGCCTAGCATACATAAGGCCCTGGGTTGCACTGGGAAGAAAAGGTAAAATGATGAGTGAGTAAACTCTGCACAGAACAGCAGCCTAGCATGTGCAAGGCCATTTGCTCTAAGCATGAGAGGAGGGGAGAAGAGGGCAGGAGAAGGGAGAAGAGAGAAGGAAAAAGGAGAGACAAGTAAGTCAGCCAGTCCACAGTGGCCAATGCCTATATTTACAACTCAAGACTCAGGAGGTAAAGGCAGGAGGGATCACCAGTTCCAGGTTAGCTTGAGCTACATAGTGAGTTGGTGTCCAGCCTGGGATACATGGCAAGACTTTTTCAACAACAACAACAACAATAATAATAATAATAGTAATAGTAGTAGTAATAGCTTTTTGGATGATGCGTATATATCTTTCCATAATCCTCCTAATACAAGTAAATCCCCTGGCCATTATATGTGACACACATGCAAGAGGAACCTGAAAGATATAGAAAAGGTAGAGTAGCTAAAGATCTTGGAACTTGGGAAATGATATCCCAATGAGACCCCTGGAATGTCTGTTTGGATCACACACTCAGAGCTGAAGCTGAAAGGCCAGCAACTCAGAAACAACAGGCACAAAAACCCTAAGAAAAGCTTGATCAGTAGGCACATTATCAGTAAAGGTACAGCATTGCAAGACAGAAAGATAGTATCTGCTCTGTTCCAACCAACAGGAAAAAACAAAGCAATCAAACAAAAAACAGAAAACTTGTATCCCTATTAGCACACCTATCTCCCACACCTGAAAAACTGTTCTAAGGCACCCTAACACCTAGCCAGCATGCTCTGAGAGAAGACCCAGCAAGAGCATGAAACTTACTTTCATCCCCATTGACTCAGTGGAGACCATTTGAGTGTGGACTTTCATTCCTATCAGTAATAACAATGTGCCCCTCTGCCTCTCTCCCTCCAGAAAAGACTTCAACTAACTATATAAAGAACTCAAAACTCAGCATTGGGACTGTACATATCGTTCACTGACAGAGTACTACCTCAGCTGTGTGATACCTAGATTTGACCACACACCCAGTACTAAACAGTGAAAAACAAAAGGGACACGTCAATAGATAAGAAATAAGGAAATGAAAAGAATGTTCATCATCAAAAATCATTAGGAAAATAGAGTTTAAAACACAATGAGGTGTCAACTACGAATCTATCAGAAGTGCTAAAATAAAATGACAGCATCAAATGCTGCTGAGGATGTGGCACAAGTAGATCACCCAAACTGCACTCCTGGGTACTCACACCACAGGGAAGAAAAAAGTGATTCCACTACAAACTAACACAAATGTTTATAGCAATTTTGTTTGTGAAGGCAAAACAGACTTTAAAAACATCAAAATGTTCTTCATAGGAAAACATAAACAGACTGTGGACATCCACAGCAACACAAAGGAGAAAAATCTATTGATAAATGTGACAACCTAGGTGAGTCTCTAAAGAATTGTTCTCAATTCTGAATAATTCAGTTATTCTTAATGAAAAAAAGAAGCCAATACAAAAGGCTGCATACCGTATGACTGATTTTCGTGGCATTCTTGAAATTATAAAATACAGAAATGGGGACAAGATCGGGGGTTGACAAGAGTTATAGAGAAGGAGAGAGGGGAGGGGAGAGGCATGGATGTAGCTATGATAGGACAGTATTAGATAGCTCTGTGAAACATCATCAGTCTTCAGTATCCTGACTGTATTAGAGACAGAATCAGGACAGGGATAGACCAGTACAGCTTTCTCAAGGGCTAATCGCTGAGGAAACTGGATGCAGGACACACTCTCCATTCTATTTCCTACAACTGCATACGACATTAAAATGAAATGTCAACAATATGGTTGGCTAAACAAGACCTGCATTATGACAACAGCTGACATACTAACATAGATGAGGAAAAGTTCACAAGGCCCAACTTTTAGATGAAGACCTACAGGCAGTCAATGGCTTCTGAGGGAAGGATCAATTTTCCACAGGAACAAGTCCCCTTATAGGTTATCCAATCCCAAATGATCAGCCATAAATACACGTACATATGACCAACACTAACCAACACTGGACTCAGCAGGTTGTGTGTGTATAACAAAAAAGAAGAGGTCACGAAAACTGAGGAAGGTGGGGGAGAGAACTGAGAGGAGCTGGAGGGGGAGGACAGGTGGAAATGACGTCATTACAGTACTTGTGCATGACATTCTCAAAAAGAGAAATTATTACAGAAATAGAATTTGATTTTAAAAACAAAACAAGAGCAATTAAATTCACTCAATGACATCTTTAATCATGGCTTCTTATTATCCTGGCACCTCTTAATATATCAATACCCCGGGAAACAGAGTTCTTCCAGCTTTAAAACTGGAAATGATTAGATTTATTCAAAAATGTTTTCTTCCTCCCTCACAAGAATCTGCATCATACTATTTTTAAAGATTTTTAAATTTTATTTTGATTTGAAATGTATGAGCATTTTACCTGCATGTATGTAAATGTACCCATGCAACCCACAGAGGACAGAAGAGGATGTCGGATCACCCAGAACTGCAGTTACAGAAGGCTGTTAACCGCCATGTAGGTGATGGGAACCAAACTTGGGTCCACTAGAGAAGCAACGTGTGCTTCAACTACTGAGCGCTCTCTCTAGCCCCTGTACAATTTTTAAAACACCCACAGTCAACTTCCTCATAACATCTTTCAAGCTTTCATAACAAACATATTTCACAACCTTCCCACTTTAAAACTTCTCAGTTTTGCGGAGGGGGGGGGGCTGGCAAGCTGGCTCAGCAGGTAATGGCACTTGGCACCCAGCCTCATGACTTAAGTTCAATTCCCAGACACACAGGTGGAACAAGAGAACCAACTCTTCAAGCTGTCCTCTGACCTCCACAGGCATCCTCCCCTTTCCCATCCCACTCCCCAAAAATGTAAAAAATAAAATAAAATAAAAATAAAAAAATCTTACAGCTTTCAAAGTACTGTCTAGCTACTTTTAACAAGCTTTATTGATGAGTGTTTTTTTTTTTAAGCTACTGTTAATGGCCAAGATATGGTATCAAACTAATACCCAATAAAGAACGGTGGATAAAGAAAATATGGTATATGTACAAAATGGAACATTATTCACTCAAAGAATGAGATACATCGTGCAGACTTTATGAAAAGCTCTAAAGCATCCTGAAGAAGAGGGAGCTCAGCACAGCAGGGTAAGACAGACCAGGGAAGGACACTCAAAAACTTTAATGGCATTTGTTTGGGGGGGTTTGTTGCTTTAGTTTGCCTTGTTTTTTGTTTTTAACATAGGAGGTCTTGTTAAAAATCCTAGCCTGGGGGGTAGCGAGAGGGCTCAGCAGTTAAGAACACTGGTTGTTCTTACAGAAGACCTGGGTTTGAATCCCAGCACCCACATGGCAGGTAACAGCTGTCTGTAACTCCAGTCCCAAGGGATCCGACAGCCTCTTCTGACCTCCGCCGGCATTGCACAACACAGGTGCACTTACCTACATGCAGGCAATACATGCATACACATAAAATAAAAATAATAAATAAAATGTTTAA